GACGGTTAGGAAGTGTGCCGTTAGAAGTAGAATCAAATTAATTAGTTTATCTGGTGACGCTGATACTTTATGGGCTTTTGTCCGAGCTTTATGGGCTTGACAAGAAGAATCAGAACCACCCCTGGATATATTGCTCACATAAACCGGTTTTGGTATTAACAGTGTGGGTCAGATTCGTGAGCAGTAAATTAAAAGAACTAGAGTAACACCATTCTAAAAGGAAAATCACATTTTAAACCTGAAAATGACACATTCTATCAGTTTTTTTTTTTCCGTCAATTTTTATATTAAATAAAAAGGACAAAGCCCAAAGCATTACAAAAGCTCAAGGCCAACAAACAAAGGCCCGAACCCCATCCGAATTAAACTTTAAACATTAAAATAAAATTGGGCTTAGGGCCCAAATCGAGCCCACTGATTTGCGGAAACCCTAACCCCCACGACTCACCCTTGCCTCTGCCTCCCTCTGCCTCCACACGACGGATTCGCCGGACTCAGAGCGGCGCCTGAATGAAAGCAAACACATCATCTACCTTCATTAATGGTGGTCCTCCGTCGAGATCTACAATCGGACATACCGAGAACTCTTCAGGATCACCATATCACTTCGTCGAGAATAAATTCCGACATCTCAACCTCAACTAACTTCTCTTGTCGGCGGAAACATCATCGGAGAGCTTTATCATCAGCTGATACCTCATCCGGTCTAACCTTAGTCCACCCGAACCGAGAAGAACGACAATCCAAAAACCCTTCACCACTAACACCCAAGATTTCTTACGGGTTCCAAACCGGCAGCGCAGATCTATGGTAAACTCCACCCTCCGAAAACTAGACGGCGACGACGGAGCTTTGTAAGCCTCCCCCTCCCGAAAACTGAACCGGCGACGACAAAGGTAAGGTAGCCTTCACCTCCCGGAGAAAAAAAACCGTCGGCGACGGAGTTGTGAAAACCTCCCCCTCCCGGAAATGAACCTTGAACCGACGAACCACCTATCCACCGCAGAGACCCTCCCACTACCGCGACACCAAGACCGGAGCAAGAGTTTACACATTCTATCAGTTTAAACACCTAATTTTTTTCACTAGCATTTCTTTCTCTTCTTCCTCTATACTATTTTCATATGTCTTTATCTGGCAGAGTCTTTTTTCCTTCCTCAAAGACAAACTAAAACCTAACATCATTAGCACCATCTGTTACATCAACAACAACTTCATCACCAGCATCTTCGTTATTCAGATTTTCATCAAGGACAACTTCATTGTCAAAAGGATTCACAATCAGGTTATCTTCCTTTACAGCTAGATTCTCATCTTCTGATTATTTTGACTTGTCATTTTTTTTTGGGACAAATTGACTCGTCATCTTCTTTAGATTTATCGACTTCATCATTTTCATTGTGTTCTTCCTCTTTACTATAATATTTTTTATTAGAAAAATTGTATTTTAAATTTTGAAGATGACACATTCTAGCAATTTAAAAATATATCAAATCAATCAGGGGGTTAGTGCATAATCTAAAATCCACATAATTTCGACCAAAAAAAATCCACATAATTGAGATAAAATATAGTATCAATAGATCTATAAAAAGGCACGCACGTAACACCTCAGTATCAAAACGCACGCACACACCCCGGCCCGTATCTTTGCTTTATCGACTTTCATGCATTCATTTACATTAATGTATTAAGCAGTTCATTAAACTTATAGTATACAAAAAGATAAATAAATAAAAAAAAGAAAATTACTAATACCTCACTAGATTGCCGTACTAGACTACTTTAGACACCAAATCTTCCTCTATTTTGTAAACTTTGAATTGTGATTAAAGAAAAACATGTTGATACTTTTTATCATCATTATAGAAGAAAACGTCATTGTAAAGTAAAAGTTGAGAAAGAAATATCTTTAAAATAAGAGCAAACTTATTTCCTTATGCTTAAATGATAAAACACCATTAATTGGGGGAAAAAAAAGACTGGTAGCTTTTAAGTCTATTCATCACTCGGATTATTAAGACTATTTTAATTTTGCAATATCGGTTCGAACCACATAAGATCTACATAATTTTTTCTTTAAAGAATGACAAAGATGGTTTGATAATTGTTTCAAAACTTAAACATATTTACAGAATGTAGTGGTAAAAAAACTCCTCAACATATTTATTGAAATGTCATAACTGGTCTTGCATCTTGATATGGTCAACTTTGTGACATGAAAAATGCATAAAAACGAGAGAAAAAATGGAATGAGTTGGCCAGCAAGAGAAGCTACAAAGAGCCACGAGACATGCAATCATCCTGATTCGAAGCCACCCCATGATTTTACTGACAAGCAAACACATTGCAGTAAAGACGAGCTATCACAATTTGCGATGAAATATAAAGTAGATTTCTTGTTCTTTTTCCTCAAAAAGAGAGGGGGAAATTCTCTTACAACTTAATGATTTATAAAAGGACCAGACACTATCATTAAATCTTGAAACTAAAAAAACTATGAGTGCCTTGAATTCCGAGATTCACTATTTTCTTTTGGAAATTAATGGTATTTCAGTTGCTCTTTCTAATTTTTTTTTGGGTGAATCTTTTGAGATATTCATGCTTTGTATCAGATCAAAAAGTACTGACCAAATACAGGCAACATATTGGTAATCTAGAAACATAAAAAAAAAAGAGTACAAGACATATGTAAGAGGAAAAAAATGAAGGAGACAGAGAATGGTGTAGACTGTAGATAAAAGTTTCAAGAAGAAAAAAATAAAGAAAAAAAGTGAGGAATGGTGATGGTAATGGTAGGGATGGTGGGGAACATATCTCTTCTTTATCTTTTTCCCTTGTTTTCTTATCTCTCTCTATAACATGTTTAGAGTTTCGTTTGGTTCAAGCTACATCTTTTTCTGTCTAAAATCTATTTGCTTCTTCAACCAAACGTTATCGTCGCCATAAATATAAGGTTATTAAATGCTTAATTCTGGCTTATTGATAAATACAATACCAATAAAAAAAGATAAATACAATGCCTTACATTGTCTGTTAATCCTCGGTAATAAAAATGGAAAAGGAAGAAAGCAAGTAGTTTCGAGTGACCTTGTCATCTTAGAAAATTTAGAACGAGACTAATCGTAGGTACTAACTCTTTAGGAGATTAGTTGGATAAATATCTCTGATCAATAAGAAAAATAGGTAAAGGGAGTGATGAGGCGACAAAGTGTGGCGACACGTGGAAAAAGGCACGTGACGTGGGGAATGTGAAAAAATATTGTCGATGATGTTTTATGGGCACCGTGTCTGCATTTTCTCGTGCTTGCAAAAAACAATGTTCTCAAGTGTGTGCTGAGAATTGTGACGTCTCCTTAGGTCCTTTTAAGTGTCCATAGGTGAAGAATCTTTCATTTGCTCCTCTCTTTAAGGATACGCATTCATTACTCAGCTATCATGCTTCCCTTCCTTGACTGATAAAAGTGTTGCTGGTTTTAATACTGAAAAATTGGTTGGACTTGACTATTTGCTTTTTGTTAAATAAAGTGACAAGTAAAGAAACTGAAGAGTGAAGAGTGTAACTAAAAGTGACGTGGATTAGAAATCATGTGAAAACTATTTGCTTTTTGTTAAACTCTTATCATGCTTGGATACGATGATGAAGTCCACGTAGATTATTTTGTTTTTTCATCATAATTAAAAACCATTATTAACGAGTTAATGACGTACATGAGACGTGTTTTTCACTTTATGTTCCATTAAACAAACATTTGGACTGCTTTAAAAAATGTCTCGCGGTTATAAAGAAACCTTAATTGTGGAAATGGTGTTTGTCGAACCCACGAATGCATCAATGCGCGTCACGATAAACTTATGCATTGAACTTAATTTGGTAAGGACGAAAGTTAAATAAACTATGGTTCTTAAAAAAATTATGTACTTTGTTTTTTATTTTTTCAAAAAATAATGTTCTTATCCGGTTAATTAGAACATGTATCTCGTCTACATTCATCTTACTGATCCTTAAATCTAGGCCTGAATGTATTTCTTAAGAGAATAATTTGATATGCCACTTCAAGTCTTCAACAAGCGCTTACATGGAGTGTTAATCCTCTCTGTTTTCTGCTTACTCAATTTTGTGTTTCAGTTATGTTTTATTTCTTGTTATATGATGAATCTGTACATAAACCGTGTTTTTTTTTTTTATCATGCTGTATAAGCTTACCACGAACACTAAGTATATGATATGAAGCTAAATAAATCACACATCCTTATATCTATCGATATATATATATATATATATATATATATATATATATATCTTCTCCACATGTATTAATCATTTTTATTCGATAACTGAAATCCAACACTAATACATATGCAAAAAATTGAGAATATATTTTTATTTGTTTTTATTTCCAAACAAAAAAATAAGCAATACTCTCTCCGTTTCTTTTTATAAAGTATTTTGGTTGATTGCACGGAGATTAAAATATTTACCTTCTTTTTAAAATTACTTTTAATGATATATTTTTAAAATCATTCAATCAATTATAAAAAAGATTGAAAAATTTTATTGGTTGAACAATTTCCAATAAAATTAAAGTTAACCTTAAAACTTCAAAGTATACCTTAAAATTTCAAAACATCTTATATTTTGAAACAACATAGACCTTGTAAAACATCTTATAAAAAAAAACAAACAGAGGGACTATACAATTTTGTTAGATGAAAAGTTCTAGAAGTAGACTAGTAGAGTATATACTTTGAAACAATACAAATTTAATTAGAACACACCCAGCAAAAAAATCCGAGCAGAAAGTCAAAACCAACAGTTTGACCCAGTATCTGCTTGACACGTGGATTGGTCTGCTACATCAACAACATCTTTAACCACACTGTCTCATCATTCCACCATCTCTGTTTTTATTTATTTTAAAACAAAGTACCAACTCTTCTTCTGTGAATATATTAAATTAACAAGAAAAATCTCCTCCTATATATACACACACACGTTCAAATCATTAGTCATCTGCTTAGATAAAAATCATAAAGAGATATAGATAGTAACCAAAAAGAAATAAAGAAAATGGGAAGAGGTAGAAGAAGCTCATCGTCTTCATCGATAGAAAGTAGCTGCAAAAGCAACCCATTTGGTGGCTCTTCGAGTTATAATACTCGGAACCTAAGCACGGACCTGAGGCTTGGACTCAGCTTCGGATCATCTTCCGGACAATATTACAACGGTGGAGAAAATCAAGAATATGAAGTCGTTGCGGCTGCTGATCATGAAATGATCATGGAAGAAGAACAAGAAGAAGATCAAAACGAGTGTAATAGTCTTGGAAGCTTCTATGTTAAGGTGAACATGGAAGGAGTTCCTATTGGAAGAAAGATCGATCTATTTTCTCTGAATGGGTATCATGATTTGATCACAACGCTTGATTACATGTTCAACGCCTCAATCCTATGTAAGAATCTATCTACACATATATATATCTTTGCATGTAGACCAAAACCCACTTATAGTTTTTGTTAAGAGAGATTCATAAACCATATAACGAAGTCCATATAATTATAAATATATCTGTTTCATTTTGGCTCTTTTTTTTTACTATAGAACATGTTATCTTTTAACTTGGTCATTTCTATCTATATAGTTTATATATCTTTGCTTGTAGCCAAAACCCACTTTAGTAAATGATATAACGAAGTTAGAATAATTAAACATATATCTTCATTTTGGCTCTTTTTTTACTAAAGAACATGTTATCTTCCAACATGATCATTTTTATCTATATAGTTATATATCTTAATCTTAGCATGTAGACCATAGCACATTCTATATATGAAAGATTGTGATTTATGGGAGCAAGAAGAGTGAGAGTGAAGTGTGTGAATGGTGAATAATAGTGAAAATTGAAACAGGGGCTGAGGAAGAAGAGATGTGTAGTGAGAAGAGTCACGTGCTAACTTACGCAGACAAGGAAGGTGACTGGATGATGGTTGGAGATGTTCCTTGGGAGTGAGTGCTTTTTCTTATTTATTTTATTTAATCTCTAATTAAGTATATTACCATTTTGATTATTGACTATAATGATGTATAAGTCTAATGGGGGTTTCATTGATTATTCTACAGGATGTTCTTGTCTAGCGTGAGAAGACTGAAGATCTCAAGAGCTTATCACTACTGATTTGACCAATACAGTGTGGGAATAGTTAGTTTTGTCATGATGTAAATCGCCTATCAGAAAATTTTATTCAAGATTTTGTTTCTAGTTTACTTCGTAATGTTTTTATTCGGTTATAACTTCCAAGGAGGAAAAAAAATTCAGATCGATCTTTCTTTAGAAGGTTAATGTTTTGTTGTTTATTAGATTTTTTTTTTTTTAATTTCAGAAAATCCCTAGCGATAATAAAACGAAATATTATATGAATCAATTGGTACAATACCATCGTTTTTAATCAAATATATCTTCCATGTATGTAACAATCAAAATTTCAGTTGAGTTTATATCAGTCTTCCATTTGAGTGTTTTGTTATTTAGAAAAAAAAAATAGAATTCAGATGTGAAAAAATAGTTTTTTTTTAATTCAAAAACAAATGACTCTTATAGAAGTACACTTGTGCTGCTTACCAAAGCATTAAAAAGCTCATACAAAAACAAGAAAAAAACTCTTAAACCTCACTGCATACAAATTTACAATAAATAACAGAAAGAAGAGAGAAAGAACGAAAGCATCACTTATATAAAAAAAATGAAACCTCTGAGAAAAATTGTAAGAAAAACTGATGAAGAGGTTTCTTTACCCTCAAGCAAAGTGTATTTTTCCCCTTTAAAGGTCAAACTTCAGTAACTTACCAAGAAAGCAACCATGGTGATCTACTTAAACCACTTGATATCTCAAGATTATTCTCTGATAACCCAAAACAATCAGAGCTATGCTCTGGGAAAATCCTCTCTTCAAAAGAATCACAACTAATCTCCGGTGAAACCCACTGCGAGTAGCCTCTAACATTTGAGCATTTCCATGGAGCTTTCTTCTTCACCTTAAGAGTGACATTAAGGAAACATATATCCCTAAACTCATCTCCTTCTATACCTTCAAGAAGACCCGCAACACCGATATCTTCTCCATCAACATTCTCAAAAGTGATCTTCTCTATAGCCGGAAGTGCCTTGAGATCAAAGTTTTCATCAGGATGTTCACCGTACTTACCAGTGAACCTAATAGCCTTCTTCACGTTATTAAGCTTCACGTTTGATACGTGAACGTTTCTTACGTACCCGCCTCTTCCAGGAGAAGTCTTGATTCTGATACCAGTATTGGAGTTGAATAGATGCAAGTCTTTGATGTAGATGTCAGATACACCTCCTGACATTTCACTTCCTATGGCTATTCCTGAGCTTGAAGTTGTTTGACCTGTTAACCTATTGATCTTGATCTTTGAGCTTGGTCTTGCGTAGGAGATTCCATACTCGTCCCACCCGCTTTTTATCGATACTAAATCATCTCCGGTTACTATGTAACAGTCCTCTATGCAAACGTTAGTTGATGAGTCTGCAATTAATAAAAATGGTGAGACCATGTCTGATAGCTTAACTACTCTAGGAGTAAAGTTTGCAATGGAACTGATGAAACAGAAGCTTGGAAAGATAGAATAGTAGTCAGTTATCTTTGTTTAGTGCTAGGATTTTCAAATAAACCAATTTTTTTTTATAGAATTACCGAAAACTAAGAATAAAAAACTCTCAATTTTTATTAATCAAATCATAAACTCAGAGTCTATATGAGTCTGTATTTTGATGTAAAAAAAAAATCATAAACTATAAATTTATATATATAAAAACCTAAAAAACTATGAAAATTTAATCGTAATTAAAATAAGAAAATGATAAAATAAAGAAAATACAAATACATAGTAATTATACTAATTCTAAGCTGTATCAGGAACTTACCTGGATCAACTCCATCTGTGTTTGGAGAGTCAAGAGGAGCCAAGATAGTGAGATTCTTTACAACAACATCTCTGTTCAGACAACCAAAAACAAATCCATATCAGAACACAAGATTAGCTGTGGTACTAATAGCATTAGATAAGTTAGACCAGACCTGCAATAAACAGGATGAATGTTCCAAAATGGCGAGTTTAAGAAGGTGAGGTTGGAGATGATCAGACCATTAGTGTTTATGAGCTCAACAAGATGAGGTCTTGTATAGTTTAGCTCTCCATTTCTAAACCAATCCCACCATACACTTCCTTGACCATCTATTGTCCCATTCTCACCTATAATTACAGTATCATCAGACTAATAACAACAGTTGAAAAATGAAGCATCCATATAGTATATGAGTTGGTACCTGTGATGACTACATCTGTGAGATTCTGACCATATATAAGACTCCTATGTCTTCTACCAGGCAACTCTCTTCCTCTTCCATATGATGGTAATGGATCAACCACAGGCCAATTCTCTGAGTTCTGAGAAAGACATATAAGTTGTATAAGTGATCACATTGTTATGTATGCTTTTAAAGAAAAGGGCAGAGGCTTACCGTTGAACCGAGAATGGTTGCACCTTTGTCTAGCCATAACGTTAGGTGACTGATAAGGTCGAAACTACCGGTTAGCCATTGACCAGCGGGAACAAAAAGCTTGGCACCGCCTTTGTCAGAGAAGGACTTGAGGTAGAACAGAGCATTTTGAAAGGCTTTAGTGTTTAAAGTGACGCCATCTCCAACAGCACCAAACTCAGTGATGGAGACGCTGTGAGGACGGTGAAGAATCACTGAATTGGAATATTCACAATGCAGGCTTCCTCCAACGCTAAACCAAACACCATAAAATGCATGTACCAATAGCACATACCAGAGCTGCAAAAGCTAAAAAAAAAAAAAAAACAACATATGTATCTATAAATTGAATTCTCCAACATCTTTGTAGAACATTGTGATCCTATGATGTTCACAAGTCTCAACCACTGTGAGACTTAACTAGCTCTTGAACAGTGGAGACACACTATAAGCAAGCAAACACCAAATCAGGAAGAAAGAGGATACTCTCAACAGTAAAAATATTGGTTTCTGGTAAAAAAAATTTAACCTTTTTAACTAGATTGCAGATCTTGAACAGACAAGACATAATAATACTACCAGATTTGAGAGACAGGGCAGTGGAATTTAACTATGTTATGTCAAAACAAAAAGAGGAATAAAACTTACAAGGAAAGATCTCTTCATATGAATGGATGATCTGTGATCTCCTTCAGCTCCAGAAACTTAAATCTTCTTGATAAAACAATCTTAGCTTCTTTGTGGTTCTCTCTCTCTCTATCTCATAAACTGTATGGAAAATCAAAAAATTTGAAAGGTGAGTTTTCTCTCTCATTGATTGAATGCAAGTTGCAAAGAGTGATAAGATGGGGTCAGTAGTGAGAGGAAACAGGGGAACCCACAGAGGATAGCAAGAATTATTGAAAGTGACCGTTTGTGCCCGCCAAAAATTAGTAGTAGGTCCCTTCTTTTTAAACCTTATCCGTACCATTTTCCATCACCATTACCTCCTTTCCCGTACCAAGAAACGAGAAAACATCTAAATTTAGGACTTTTTAATAAACAAATAATTAAAGAAGAAAGAAGAACAACATTCGATGAAACCTATGATGTCTGGAGATTACCTTATTCGAGATGTTCTGTTATAAACAGACAAAGAGGGTCACATATACAAAAGCTAAGCTAGAAAGAAAGAAAGAAAGAAAGACCAGTCTGTTAAATGAACTCTAAGGAATCAATTTCTCTTTTTTTCTTTTTTTTTTCTTTTTGAATCAAATGTAATCCGAACTCAAAATGTGTTGACCTGAATTCATTTTACATCGAAGTGTGTTTGATTCTTTTCTTCTTTTTTTTTTTTACTTTTTATGAGTGTTCATCTGTTATCACTAGCTAGAAGAAGAAGATGATATGGATCACGTGACAAGTGGATCTCTCTTCACTATGTGAGAGTTGACTCTTCTACTGTAAATACGCGTTTTCTTTAAGTAGCCTAATTTCAGTTATGCGTAGTTAAGAGAAAGAAAATCGCAGGGAATAAAATTCAGAAGTGCTTCAACACATGTGCTAGACTAACACTTACTAGTTACTAACAAACATAATTAATGAACATTTTATAGTTCCAACAATTTTTTTTTTAATATATCACATTTTGAATTGAATAATTTTTTTTGTATACCACTTCTCTACTAGTGTGAATCACACTGTGTGGTGGAGATCTTTTGAGAGCTAGCATGATTATTATTTAAATTATACACTTATATTCAGATAGGATGCAAGAGAAAATTAAATAAGACCAAGAGTAATGAGACGCCTTTGTTGTCTATAAAAGAACAATACGACACCCATAATTACTATAGTTAATTATAGTTGAAGAGATTAGCACACCTACAATCATGGACCGGAGTATGATGTTAATTGTTAAGTATCCAAAACTACTCATTTTTTTAATTGAAGGACATGAATAAGTTTTTGTATCCCATTAAAAACAGAGCTTTATGGTGAACTATTGTAGCACACACAGAGCCGTGGCTTTATGGCAAAATTATTGTAGCACACTAAACATGTATCACATTGCACCTGAGACTCCCAAGGGTTTTGGGCATGAGCTCAAAATTTGTTAAAGCCCAATATAGGTTGTTAGCTAACAACAAAGGAACTAAGTGCAACCGAGAATGTACATACCTTGAGCTCCAAATGCAACTAAATTCCCACAAGCAGTGCATTTCAAAGCTATTTTTGGTTTCTTTCTCAAACAGTTCTTTTGAAACAAAAAAACATCACTTTGTAGTTCGTAATGCAATCAACAAAAACTAAAATATCTTCCAGTCAAAATATAAAATCAAAGCACAATGAGCCTGAGAGTCTTTACAAGTAAATTTCATGAACTGATGAACGAAAACATGGTGAACACTTAGTAACTCCTGCCCCAATAGGTCCATTTCTTTGCTGGCTTTCCTGATGCAAAGCAGAGAGTACCTGCACAACACACAAAAAACAACAATGAATGCTTTAACTAATGAACATAACAATGGAGGGTGAAGAGAAAAATTGATGAGCATAGTTTAAAAGGTTCTCTGTTTCTACTACCTTCAGGGAGTTCTGGCTGTTCAAATGGAGAACAGAGGGTTTTCGCTGCTCCAGTTTCACCTTTAGTACGTGCCTTGACATCTCTCTCCACTTCCTGCAAATAATATTGGTTTCAAGGAGATTAAAATTGCATTCTCTCTCTCACAGTTGATTATCAACAAAAAAAAGTTGAAAGAACGAAGAGTTTCTGTTGTAACGCACCTCTTCATCGCACCAGGGAGCTAAGATGAGTTTCTTTTTGTTGAGAGCGTTGATAAACTCATCCCAAGTCCTAATTTCTTCAACGCATGCTTCCCTCTTTTGCTTCGCCACTTCGTACATGTTCTGCTGGATCTTCTCAAGCAGTTCCTTAACATGTTCCACTAAGCTACCTCTTGGGATATCTTCCTTAACTCCGTTGTCCCTTCTCACTGTTCTGACCTATAGCCATTCAACAGAACGATATAACGAAATTAGCTTAGCCACATATAAACCGAGAGATATTCAACACGTTAAACCAGGCAGACCTGGTTGTTTTCCAGATCTCGAGGTCCAATCTCAATTCTCAATGGGACACCCTTCATTTCCCAGTTCGAATACTTCCATCCAGGAGAGTAGTTGTCCCTTAAATCTTCTTCAGCGCGGATACCGGCTTCACTCAAAGCAGATACAGTAGCAGTACAAGCATCAAAAATTCCTTGTGTATTAGCATCTTTGTAGGGCACAGGGATCACAACAACTTGCACAGATGCGACTTTAGGTGGGAGTATCAGGCCTTTGTCATCTCCATGAGTCATAATCATTACTCCAATCTATACAAGTTACGAAGTTGAAAAGTTAACTTGTGATAGAGAAACCATAAGGAAAGAACTAGGTAATAAAATAACTCGAGATTTTACCGTCCTGGTACTGTAGGCCCAAGAATTCTGCCACACCATTTCAGTCTCTCCTTTCTCATTCTCAAAGTTGATCTCAAACATCTTTGCAAAGTTTTGTCCCAAGCAATGAGAGGTTGCACCTTGTACACCACGACCCGTGTTTGCAATGAAAGCCTACGAAATCAAAGTTACAATCCATATAGAGTAAATCCACGAGAAAGAAAAAAAAGAAAGACGATTGTGTCTCTGAGAAAAGTTACACGAAATAGAAAAACTACATACCTCTACACTTGTGGTGTAAAGCCCCCCAGCAAACTTTTCATTTTCACTCTTCATACCTTTCACAACTGGGACTGCGAGATACTCTTCATATATGCGACGGTAAAGCTCCAAAATTTGAAGGACCTGAGAAGCAGTACGATAAATGAGATTAACCCTTGTTTGGAGAAGAATAAAAGAGAGAGTTGGATCACATGCAAAAGTTATGATAAGTTGAGTTACCTCTTTATCTGCTTCTTCTTTCGAGGCGAAAGCAGTGTGCCCTTCCTGCCAAAGGAATTCACGGCTCCTGCAATTAAGAATATCAGGCATTGAGCTATGACAAACTAAACTTCTGTGTTTATTTGATGGCTTAATCCATACAAAACCCACTATTTACTGGCAAAAACAACTAAGTAACTCAAGAAAAAGGCATGAACAAGAAACGTAGAAAGGAGTTAAAGTACCTGATGAATGGGGTAGGGTTACTGAACTCCCATCTAACAACATTGCACCACTGGTTAAGCTTCAAAGGCAAGTCACGGTGGCCTCTTATCCACTTGCTGTAGTAAGGATACATCACAGTCTCACTGGTTGGACGAATAGCAATTGGGACTTCCAAGTCAGATTTGCCCGACTTTGTAACCCAAGCAACCTAAAAAAAACAAGCAAAAACTGTTAACAGAATGCCTCATTGTCACAAAAATAAAAAGCCTTCTAAATATTTAAGATAAACACAACACACATACCTCTGGAGCGAAACCTTCAATGTGGTCCTTCTCCTTCTCAAGGACACCAGGAGATACAAAGAGAGGGAAGTAGCAATTCTCGACCTTCATTTTCTTTATTTCCGCATCAAAGAACGTCTACAAAACAGAAAAAAAGATCAATCTTCTTATCTCCCACATCGTTGTGAATGACATAAGATTGATAAAAAGTAAACTCACTTGCATAATCTCCCAAATGGCCATAGACCATGGCCTAAGGATGTAACAACCAGAGATATCGTAATACTCAATCATCTCATGCTTACAGACCTCAGAGTACCATTCACCAAAGTTCTCATCCTTCTTAACGCTGAGACCGAGACCCGTTTCCTTCTTAACGTCCTTCTTCTTCTTTCCACCGCCGCCACCGGCACTGGGACCAGCCTTGGCAGCCTTCTCTTTCTTGTCAACCTTCTCTTTCTTTCCACTTGGACCAGCCATTTTCAACCTTCTCTTCTTTCTGAATGCATTAACAAAAGCGATTCATTTGAAATTAAAATCAACGGAAGTGAAACCTAAGCACCAATCTAAAGCTACTCGAAGATCTGAAACTCAAAGCTACGGAGTAGAAGAACAACAGAAATTAACAATCTACTTAAAGCTCTCAAAACAACAGAAATTAACAATCTAGATCGGTTCGCAGAGCAAACACAAACATACGATGGTTAAGAGGAAGAAGAAGAAGCTAACCGATTTGCCGGTGAGCTGAAGACGGCGGAGATAAGATGAGCGAGAGAGAGAGAGCACAACGAGAATCGACAACTTGCTAAACCTTTTGTCTCACTCCGTTACTAATCATATATATAATCTACACTAATTATGGATTTAAATGGCCCAGTAGGCCCAAAGTTTGGTCAATAGGTCAACGCTCGAAGCATCAACTTAGCTTAGTTAGGGTTGGGAAAAAAACCGAACCGACCCGAGATAACTCAAATCCGACCCGAATGTTTATAACATCCGAATGGAGATGAAATTTTTGAAGCCAAAAACCCAAAACTTGAATGAATCCAAATCGAAACTTGATTAAGACCCTCATCCCCCAATTCTAGGAGAAAATATGGATTAGGTCATAATGGTTAGGTCGTGGAAACTATTTTATTATTTACCGCCTCAAGCCATATATAATTAGAGATGACAATTGGGTTTTTTCGTCTCGTCTTGTCCCGGACCGCTGCGGGTTCATCTTCTAGTAGGACGTGGCAAGTTTGGGTTTTGAAAACAGCTGTCCAATCCCATACCGCATTTTATATAACCCTTCACAGGACATGTGATAATAAGCGCAACAGAACGATTCATACCACTCCAAAACGCTTCACGCTATTCTAGGACATAATTCAAGTCGTCGATTCAACTGGACACAATTCATCAATCCTTGTTTTGCTTATTTTTTTATATTGTAATTATTTTTACCACACCCAAAACATATTAACATACAAAGTAAAAATAATTGCAAAAGATGTTTTTTATTATTTTATAACTCATAAGTTCACAACCAATTTTTTAGTTTGATGAATTCAAAAATTAAATAAAATGAAACACCAAATTAAATATATCAATCCCAATTAAATAAAAAGAGAAACCAAATCAAAACACTACTAAAGTTCGAATCGTCATTGTCGGACTTGTAGTCATCATCATCGGAACTCAAATCATTATCACTAAAGCTCAAATCATCATCACCGTCCGAGCTCCTTACGTTTTCTCAGGGAATTCATATGAATCGTTTTCTTCTCACTTATTCTCTCATTTTTTCGGGTAAAAAAAAATACAGGTCCTTGTAATTCTGCGGGACCCGTTTCGGCATATCTCGCAAAAGACCTAGTCCCATAAAAATCCGTCTCGCGAGGCTTGCAAAATCTCATCCCAATACCGTTTCGCGAAATTCTTTACGGGATAGGTCCACGGTCTAGATCTATAATTGTCCTAATTGGGCCAATAAAGCCCATAATCGTCGAGGCACTTAACTGCAGGGTCAAACATGAATAATTTAATAACTCGGAGGGCGTTTTTTAGAGATTTGAAAAGAAGAGAGAGTTTGTGTGTGTGTCTGTTTAGGATAAAAATATTCAGAGGGAAGAAGGAGATGGGTGAAGAGAAGCCAATTAGGTTACTTAATTTCGTCTCTGAGGAACAGGTTCGTTCTCTATCTAATGAATCCCTAGCTAGCTCTTTAGTAGATTCGAAACATTCGATCTTAATCTGGGGAATTGAATTGAAATTGGGTGTGGGGGCAGTTAGAGGAATCGAAGAAAGAAAGAGGGGAAAGAGTTGAGGATGGAACCTTCCAAAGAGACAGGGCTTTGTTCGAGGTTCTTATTACTCTTATGCTATAAACTACTTTTAATCCTTGATTCATAGGAAGACTAAATCACAATGTTTCCTTTTACATAATTAATTAATTACAGATATTGAAAGAGAACAAAGACAAGAAGGACGCTGAGTTTAATGAACGCTTCAAGCATAGTGAGACACTCTACTTTCTTCACACTGATTGGTTTAACACTTCTTTCTGGAGCTGTGTCTTTTGTTCACTTGTTTCATTAGTTAATTCGTCTTTTGATTTGGATTTGATTTGTCACAGGACCACCCAAAGCTCTTGATGAAGATGAGACTGAGTTTCTCGATAAGCTCGCCATGGTGATAAAGCCTCAATTATTATTATTATCTTGTTGTTTATTCAACTTAAATATCTACTAATTGGCCTTCTACATATAGAATCTCTTGAGAATCAGTAATTGAAGTGGATATCATAACTTGATGTAATTTCTTTTTATATATATAGTCAAAGAAGGAATATGAACGGAAATTAGCTGATGAAGAAGAACAACAACTTCGTAGTTTCCAGGTAATTTTCTTGAAACACACACACACACACACAGTTAACTTATCTTAAAAAAATGCTGGATCAACCTTGGTTTATGGTTCCAATTTCAGGCAGCAGTTGCAGCAGCACGAACAGCGATGCCTCAGGAACCAATAGAAGCTGCAATGCCACCACCACCACCAGCTCCAACCACTAAAGTGAATACCTCGTCTTCTGCAATTATAGATAGTTGATTGTGCATTTATTACAACCACATGGGTGATTTAGGTTAATCTTGATCTCTTTTTTTTTGTAGGAAAACAAAACAACGGGGAAGAGAAACACTGCGACTCGTCCATTTAATGCCATCATAAGAGTCAAGTCACAACCGAAGAAGGTTAAAGCGACAGAGGAGGAAGAGAAGAAAGATATCTCAGGGAATGATAAACCGGTTAGCCAAACCGACAGGACTTCTGCAGAAGCCAATGTCACTCCTAAAGCTTTGCAAACAGGTTTATCCTTAGTCTCGTATAGTGATGAAAGTGAAGATGATGATTAGCAATTTTTTGTTTCACTGAACGAGAATCGACATACACTCACAAGACATCATCTTGATATTAATTAATTTGTTATGATTTCCTTTCTCCATTACATCTGTGTTCTTGATTGTTGATGACCGGTTGTTTGATTAACCATAACCCGGTCAAGTGAATCTTGGACCACATAGTCTGACTCGCCGTCTAGTCTAGAGCACTTGTTGCTTCATTCATAGCAGCACGTTAGGGTCTTTGAGGAACACGTACGTGCTTAAGCCGATGCATCTTTTATGACTCTAGTAGACTCAGGGACAGATCCAACAAGATGGATGGGGTGGTTCGGAAGGTTGGATTAGGACTCGGTTTACTCTGGTTGGAGAAACAGCCAATATAAGAGGAGTTTGACTTTAAATCAACCGGAAATTGTAAATGGCTTCGAAGATTATGTTACGTCAGGGCTTGCTTTCATAACATATTACATTTCTCATAAATATTTGCCAATAATCATCTGTATCCTCATAATCTTCCATCAACATACAATAGAGAATCATATATAAACACAGCAATAAAGCTAACTTCTTATAAAGTTATATTTGTTGACCTAGTAAACATGGTTACACATAATCTTACATAAGTATTTTTTGTTTGTATATTTTTACTAGGGTATTAGTTTGAAGTTATATTTTACCATGTTTAGTGATAGAATATATATACACACATTAAGACGGTCATAGAAACTCATTATTTTGAATAAAATAAAGTAAAAGAAGAAATAACATTTTTTTTGTATAGATGTTTTGCATGTGAAACAAAAGCAATCTTATACAAATTCATCCCAAAATGTCTAGAACCCTATAATAATAAACCAAAAAGAGTCCTGATCCCGAGGGACGAGGTCGTACCGTTACCTTTTTACATGATCACATACTATATTATTCGTTATATATATATTTTGTTAGTTAATTTTCTTATAGTCCAAGCTGGACAGGAACGTTGGCTTCTTGAATCCAGTTAACCGGAGTCAACCAGTTAGCGACGGTGAAACGTTCAACCTCAGCCGCAGACTTAGCCACCTTAGCCCAAGGAGCCCTCGCAGCAGTGTTAGCTCCTGGTCCACGGTTATTGAACTCAACATATGTAGCTGTCTTATGGAACTGTTCTCCTTGCCACTCGTTCCATCCTATCGGTTGAATCAAATCACCAATCTCAGTTCCGATAATCACGGTGGTGGCATACGGTTTCCACGGCCGTCCAAGGTATGACTTAACGGTTAGTCTGTCAGCTTCGAGCTCTTTGTCCGCCATGATACGGCAGTTATGGAGAACGATACCAATCTTCACCGTTTTACCCTTCTCGTTACCGTCGGCTGTGACGTGGTTGGTTTGTCCGGGACTTCCCTTTCGGCAGAGGATTAGTGAGTTTTGAATCACGGTAGCAGATTTTCCGAAGATGAAATCGACTGTACCGGACACAACAATGTTCCTATAGAACTGACGTCCGTTGTTGACGTAGAGTGTGTCTTGGTAACCATCGAATCTGCAGTTGAATATGACCGCACGGTCTCCGTTCACTCGGAACGCGACCGCTTGGTGTCCTAATGGACCAGCAGTGTTTTGAAACCCGATCCATTTCGCCATGAATCCCTCAGATTCAACCTCTGCATGCATGCATAAGTTTATTATTTAGATATCAACGTACATGTGTATATTACTATATTTATATTTTTTTCTATGTTTTTTTTTAAATGAATAAAAACAAGATTAATTGTATGGGACTTACGAACGGTGCCACTGAGAGAAGTAGTGGTTCCAGGGCTAAGACCAACACTTCTGTCAAAAGTAATGATTGTTTTTGTTGCACCATCACCAAACAAGAACACGTTGTTTCTCTTCTTCGTGATTGTGACTTGTTCTTTGTAGACACCAGTCTTAATATGGATAATGCAACGTCCAGGATTTTTCTCTGGACAAGCGTTAACGGCCTCGGTAATAGTCTTAAACTGTCCACTTCCATCTTTAGCCACCACATGAGTCGGCTTGATCTTACCGCCACCACCACCGCCTTCACCGATACCTTCATCACCAGGGCGTCCCGCTTGAGCCATAAGCTTCCTGTCTTTCTCAGAATGCCATTTAGGTAATCCTTTGTCGTCCATGTCTTCAAGAAGGTCACGATCAGGAACAGGTCCAGCTCCAGCTCCTCCGAGGTTCCCGTTCTTCATGTCGTCGACCTTAACATTCATTTGGGACATAGCGGTGACAATAGTATCGAAGATATCGATAGCGTTACTTGACAAAACCTTTGACTGAGCGATTCCTTCACCCATAATTTTCTTTAATTCCGCTTCTTCGATATCATCAATACAATCGGTTTGGTAATTAAAAACACCGGTTAACCATTGTTTAAGTTGGTCCATTTTACTTCCACTCTGCTGAAGATCTTCACCCATTTCTTCAACAATGGTCTCAAGATCATCAAGAGCGTACATCAGCACTCTCTTGCAGTAATCAAGAACAGCTTTGCTAGTTGCGTTCATGTTTTTCGCCATGCCTTCTTCGGTTGAAGCCGTGAAGTTTGAGGATTTTGTGACCGCCTCTTTTGTAGCTAGCATGAAGGCTTTGATAAGCTTACTTGGATCGTCGCTTTTGACTGGCTCAAGTGTTTTTGCGCATGAACCTTTGTCTGTGGCTGACGCACAAAGTGACTGAACCGCTTTCTGATGCGAGTTCAGATTCGTGTCGCCACCACCACCACCACCACCTTTATTAACAAAGGTGACAACTCCTATGGCAACACCCACCACTAGAAGCATGGATGCCACAGATATTACAATTTTTCCTGCAGCCATTATTTATTTATTTTTTATTATTTTTTTTGTTTTTTTATCCCTCAGGTTTTATTAAGGAGGTAAATAGGAGAGGGAGGGGATTTATTTTTATTAAATCAGACCCGGTGGATTATTTAATGGGGGCTGGTAGAGATTATGATGCATTATGGGAGATTCTTATAGAAGTTGTAGTTTCTAAAATTAGGATTTGCATGTGCTTTGTATGGAAGGAGACATTATAGGTTGTTGAATGGCTAGAAATTTTCTAGTCGATATTGGCTTTGAGATTAAAAACTAGTCAACACAAGATGATTTGATTATGTCCTTGTCCTGATCAAGAGGTGTAACTTTGATTACTAAAAATAAGAATTGATGTAAGGATAAAATTAGTTTTATAATAATCTTATTAATTTTAGGATTTGAGAGAACAAAAAATTTATTTTGGACAATTCATTCTTAATATTAGTGTTACATCCCAAAGATTATAATTATACTTATTAATCTTATTTTACAAACTCTGAATCATATAGAAACTTTATACTAATAATAGATTATAAATAAATATAACAATTAGGTATTTTGCCCGCACTTGCGGGCTTAATAGTTTTCTAATATCTATAAACAAATATAATCAATTTAAGTAAATTATAATAAATTATTGTTCATACACTCAAAATATTTAATAATAATCTAAACAAATTCTTTCTATATAAAATTTTTTTCATCATCATATAAATAGTTGTCATACACAAATTAAATGTTAAAATACTCATAAATTTAAAATATTTAGTAATAAGTTAATATCATTTTTAGACATAACAAAAAGTATAATAAAATTATCTTTAGTAATGTAAACTATCTATACATAATTTTTTTGCGAATTATTTTTCATAATTAAATATATATTAACAATTATAATTATTTTTCAATTTTAATAAAGACTTATAACACAATTATAAAAAAATAGATAATGATAATTATCAAATTCATCAAATTCGTTTTTAATTTAGAATTAATTATATATTAATAAATATAATTATTTTAAATATAATTATTTTTCAATGTTGATAAAGACATAATATAAAAAAATAAATAAGGATGATTATCAAATAAATGAAATTCGTTTTTAATTTATAATTAATGATATAGTACTAAAAATATAATTATATTTCAAGGTTAATAAAGAATTTATAATCCAATATAAAATAGTTTTAGATAAAAATAAATCTAAAATTATTGAAATTCGTTTTTTTACTTATGTTTAATTATATATTGAATTTTTTAATTATTATATAGTAATAAATCTTTTTTTGGGCAAATAGTAATAACTATTAGTCATTATATAGTAATAAAATTAGTTAGTCACTAAGTTTATGTTTGCTTTGTCATTAAAGGTAGTAAAAATCATCAGAACATGACAATTAGATTTACTATTGACGAAGCAAACATAAACTTAATGACTAATTAGATTTATTACTATATAATGAATAATTAGATTTATTATAATCATTAGTATAGATAATGATAATCATCAAATCATAAGAAACATGACAATTAAGATTTGTTTCTAATTATTATATAGTAATAGATCTAATTATTCAAAACTCCATCAATGTACTTTAATTAAGTTTATATTTTATATTTAACCAAATATCAAAATACTTTATGAATAAGATTTAAAACAAATTAATTGACATAAAGTCTAACTAATTTATTAACTATATATTCAAACCCATATATCCAAAATGAAATATTTGTTAAATTTTATATTGAACCAAATATAAAACTTTATACGTTTTTTATGTCACTCACTTTAGATCTCTATTTTTTATACAAACACAATTATGATTTTGACAATTAAAACAAATTAATTGACCCAAATATCCAAAGTGAAATATTTGTTAAATTTTATATTTAACCAAATATAAGCTTTTGACAATTAAATATACTAACTCACAGTGTTCACGGGGACGACTGCTTAAATTTCGATCCTTTTGACAAATATCTCCATCAAAAAATTCATCAGAAAATATTCCACACCACTTTATCAAAAACGAGTTCAAGCAATTCCTCAATGTGTAGCCTCTCTCCTGGCATTCACGGGGACGACTGCTTAAATTTCGATCCTTTTGACAAATATCTCTATAAAAAAATTCATCAGAAAAAATTCCACACCACTTTATCAAAAACGAGTTCCAACAATTCCTCAGTGTGTAGCCTCTCTCCCGGCATTCTCTCCTCCGGTGCGGCCTCTCTCTTCCTGCCCGGTGCGGCTCTCCCCCGTGATCTCTCTCGGGACCCCTCTCCCCGGCTGCCTTCTTCCCCGCGGTCTGCCTCTCCCACGCGCGGCCGGCCGAGGCCTCCCTCCCGTGGCCTCTCCCCGCCTCTCTCTCTTGTGGCCTATGCGTGCGACCTCTCCCCTGCCTCTCCTGCGATCATTCTCCCGCGCCGTCTCCCCCTCCCGCAACCTCTCTCCCGCGGCACCGCGGCACCTCTCTCCCGCCGCAGCGCCTCTCTCATGTGACCTCTCCTCCGACCTCTCTCTCGTGGCGACCTCTCTCCCCCCGCGGCGGCCTCTCTCCGCCCCGCGGCAGACTCTCTCCCGCGGCGGCTCGCGGCAGCCTCTCTCCCGCGGCGGTCGGCCTTTCCCTCGCGGCGATCGACCTCTCTCCCGCGGCGATCGGCCTCTCTCCCGCGGAGTTCGGCCTCTCTCCCGCGGTGATCGGCCTCTCTCCCGCCGCGATCGGCCTCTCTCCCGCGGCGATCGACCTCTCTCCCGCGGCGATCGGCCTCTCTCCCGCGGCGATCGGCCTCTCTCCCACGGCGGCGACCTCTCTCCCGCGGCTCTCTCCCGCGGCGGCGGCCTCTCCCCCGCGCCGACCGCCTTTCCCCCGCGGCGGCCGCCTCTCCCCCGTGGCGTCCCCCGCGGCGGCCGCCTCTCCCCCGCGGCGGCCGCCTCTCTCCCACGGACGCCTCTCCCCCACGGCCGCCTCTTCCCCGCGGCCACCTCTCCCCTGCCGCCTCTCCCCCCGGCCGCCTCTCCCCCCGGCCGCCTCTCACCCGCGGCCTCTCCCCCGCGGCCCAGCCCCTCTCATGCCCCAGCCCGCCCCAACCTCTCTCCAACTCGCCCCTCTCCCCCCCTCTCTCTCTCTCCCTCTCTCTCTTCCCTCTCTCCCCTCTCTCTCTCTATATATATATACAAAATTACCCAAAAAAGTTTAACAAAAAAAAATCGGTAAAAGTTTCATAATTCCTAATCGGCAAAAGAAGATGGCTGGGAACGATCGTCGGACTTCTTATTGTCTCTGGCAGCAAACTCTAACACCTGAATCACCACAAATCTTAGAAATCAGACAATGATTTTAGCTAAATAAAAATCAGATATGAATCGAGATACTTACTTCAGCAGCGAGGAACTCGAAGAGGAGGACGACGCCATGTAAACCGGGAGCTCCACCACTAAGTCTTTGAGCCTTTCTTCAGGAAACGAGTGATTTCTCCCGACGGGCCATGACCGATTTGGAGACCGGTTTGGTCTTTGGGCCGCCGAAACTCATGCTCACTTGTTTTCCGGTGGTTTCTCCATTGCACAGAAACGGGATTAAAAGATTGCTACAGACAGAGAGAGGTTTGGTGGAGGTTTTTATTTTGATATTTAGTGGTTTTCTTCGGACATTGATATCACTGGAGAAGAAAGAAAAGAGGGACAAAGGTTTGGTTTGTTGTCTGATTATAGTGTTTATGAGTTTGGTTTGTTGTCTGAATATAGTGTAGTGTTTTTGAGTTGGGTGTTGTATATTTATATAGAAGCTAGCGCCTTTCGTAACGGCTATATTTCTCTTACAGTTTTGAGTCGGTCTCAATTGCCATAAAACACGTACTTTTCTCCTAACGGTAATAATGTTGGAATTGAACCGGTCTTGCAAGTTCTTCTCGAAGATGGTGCGTTGTAATCTAAAGAACTACCCATCTCTCTCTCTCTTTGTGCTCTTAGAAAAAACTTTCTATAACTAGATCCTTAGAGCATGTACATCCCCAGCACCCCACTAGGGGGTGCTTAATTTTTTTTGTTTTTTTGTTTTTTTTTGTTTTTTCGGAATTAAAAAAAAATATAGAAAAAAGACCAATTGCGGGCAGCCACGTGTCGTGGGGCCCGCAAAAAAGGCTAAGCACCAAACTCAAAAATCGCTCACGGGAGATTTTGGCGTCGACTTTTATTTTTCTGTGGCCCCCCCCCACCCCACTTTTTCCCCTAAGCACCTCCTTTTTCTATGGGATGCACATGCTCTTAGGCGATTATTGTTTCTGCAAAGCTGTAGTAACTGGTGAAGTGGTTGTGTCTTCCACTTTGTGGTAAAATTTAGTCTTATGTAGAATCTGACACGCAGTGGTTGAACCTACTTATGTGTGTGCTAAGAGATTCACCTATAAAGACAGGCCCATGTATGTGAGTGAGGTATGCTAACGTGGAAGCTGTGAGATGGAAGGTGATGGTATGTATATATTTTCATGCTTGTTTCTTTTATTCACCAGAAACATTTTGATATAAATAAAGATGCAAATTTTTTCAAGGATGCTAAAAAGGAAGAATTCTTATTACCTAGTTCCATGTACTTTTCCTGGAATGTCAGTTTTTGGGTTTTGTAGTTCCCCAAAGAAAGTATACCCTTGAGAGCAGTTCCTCTCGTTTCACCGTATGAGTCTTGAAGGCTCATCGTCTTTGCTTGGCACACCAACCGGAACACCACCCCAGCCTTGAGACAAGGTTCAAATAAATATGTATGGACATGGACAATGTAGTTAGTTATAAATGGTTGTAAAATTGTCTTCATGTATTTACTCTGTTTTGTTCTCGTCACTCATCGAGAGTTCGATCTCATCTTTTTAAAAATAAATTAATCGGACACTACAACAACTTAGTAACACTAGTACTAATAAAAAAAACTTTGTCCTCTATGGTGTTACTCAAACATGAATATTCATTTGATACATCCTCTTTCTTAACAAGTTCGTCCGCATTTTTTTTTTTATGTGTGAGATTACTGAGTATTTTCATAAGGATAATATTTTGAGGGGTTTGACAATATTGTAAATTTGAAAGCCGAAATCATCTTTCCAGAAGACACTTGAATTCATTGAGAAATAATTCAGTCCTATTCCTATACATATAAAATTTGATCAACAAAATGAACTATATATATAGCAATGTCAATACACTCGTAATTATACCTATAATAACATAACGTCCAGGGATACATTACAAACATCGTCGTAAATGTACATACATCAGTATCATATGTAATTGATCATTGAAGGTTCCATGACTTTTGAAATGTCCTGAGAGCATAAGGAAACAAAGGTATGGATTCATGCATCATCAAGCATATGAAAAAATGCACAATTCTTTTGTTTAACGTAGGAAATGTATCCGAAAACATTGGACCAGAAAGTGTCTTGTTAGAGTTATCAAAGTATAACAAATAATTATGTAATCAACAATTTAGTCAAAAATATGTAATCAACAAAAAAACAAAGATCAAATTTCATTAATATATCCTTTCCAATCATCTCGGAATCCGTCCGTACATGTATAAAAAACCTAGAACATATATCATACATGACACTTTAGGCATCATACGATGATATTAATTAATTATTACATCCGATCCAAATCATTTTAATCAATAGTAATAATCCGACAATGGTGGTGGTCGGGGCGAAGTGTCTTCCTCGTTAAGCTTCACCTTGATACCAAAGGTCTTAAAAATAGTTTTCAAATCATTGAACACATCAAACGTGTTACTGCTTAGATTCTTCCCAACACTAATCCCAGTCTCCACTTCTTTCAACAGATTCTTATCATCAGTATCATCCAAACAAGTCCAGTGATACCCCATGATTGACATCAACGTCTTCTTACACGTGAAATAGTTATAAGCCAACGTTGCTACATCTTTTCCGGTTGCTTTCCAAAACTCAGCGAAATCTTCCAACGCGTACTTCAAGTTTTTCTCGCAGCTGTTGATAACTGCAGCTGCGGTTGCGTCTGATTTGTGTTTTGGTTTGATCTCGGAGAGGAAAGTTACACTTCTTTTCACGGAAGATTCAGTCGCAACCGCTAACGCTCTGATCAATTCGATGGGATCATCGGTAGGAACGTGTTTGAGTGTTTTGCAGCATAGACTTGTGTTTGTTAGGACGACGGTGCATACTCCCGCGACTGCTTTTGCATGCGGTGTGAAAAGATAGTTCCTGCGTTTGGCTGCGGGTGCAGCGGTTACGGTTGCGGTGAGAGATAAGAAGAAGAGAAAGGCTAGTTTGATTGGAGTGATCATGATTTGTTCTCCTATGGACGGAGACAAAAAAAGATTGGAAAGGAACGGATCCGGAGGAAGGAGAGAGCTACAGATATAGAAAGATGCATGTTAATTGAGTATATATAATATATTTATAGTTCATCTATATTGAGTGGTAGATATTAGATTTGTTTTTTAAAAAAATTCTAGGTACTTCACATATGGTAGCGAGGGATTTGCGGGTTAATTTCGGGTTAAACGACTATCGTTTCAAAGTTAATATATTTGTTATATTTTGGTTTTAAGTTTTAATTAATGCAAATGTGGGTTTAACTGAAGTAGTTATGCTGTTGAAAATGTATAACTCAAAGTTTATATTATTGTGGAAGTTTAATTAATCCAATGATTTGATTAAATGTTGATTAATTATTTTGTATTATAAAATTTGGATTTCAGATCTCAAAATAAAACACTTTATTACTAATTATACTATAAAACTAACCAATAAAAACTTATAAAATATTTTTAGTAAAAATAAAATTGTTGGTGTAGACCTAGTCAGTGCAAATCATACAAATTAATAATGTTGGATTCTAAAATTTTATTAATTTATAGAGATGTTAATTTTCAAATTTTTTCTTATTTAAATTTCTTATTTTCAGATATATTTATTTTAACAAAAGAAAAATATTTGATTTTAGTGTATATATATTAATTATTACTTTTCTTAAAAAATTGACATTTATATTAATTTTATTATACTATTTGGGTATATAATATATGTTGCATAAAACTTAAATGTGGTTTTAGATATAATAACTCTAAATCTCATCAAAAATATTTTAAGTATTAAAAGATCTAATCCTTTTACACTAAAAGGGATATAAAAGATTTCAATCTGTTAGTCTATAATATTTTTTTTTACAGAAGCTTGGTTATCTGATTATCTCCACTTCTTCATCGGACTTGTTTTCAATTTTCCTTATTTGTTTCAGTGGTTATAATGTGATTGTTTATGTAAATTGCAACTTCTTATGATATAAATATATTTGACTGTCGAAGAAGTACCACTGGTCTTGAAATGGACACGTCCAAGCTATGCTTCAAGCTAAAAATGAAGCGAGTTTTTAAAAAAAAGAAGAAAGTAAAGTCGGATCGTCTCGAGAGAGAGGGGCGAATCGTAGACGTGTGAGGCGGGAAAATGGAGGAGGAGGAAGCCAAGATGTTGCTGGGTTTTCCTCCCAATTCTCGTCCCCATCCTTCTCAGGTTCTTCTTCTTTACTTTGATTCTTAAATTAGGTTTTTTGGCTCGATCCTTTGATTCGGTGATCGCATGGTTGAGAATTCGAATTGTGTGAATATGATTGGGGGGTTTAGGTTAAAGCAGCATACCGGAAGAAAGTATGGGAATCACATCCTGACCTGTTCCCTGATGATCAGAAGCTCCATGCTGAGTCTATGTTCAAATCCGTTGAGTCCCTAATCTTCTTCTTAATACGCGCGCACACATATATAATTCAAATTACCTTCTGATTAAGAGCATAATCCCTTTTTTTTAATAAATATTCTCACTAGAAAAATCACGCTTTCTCAATTTGTTTGCAGATTGCGGAAGCTTACTCTTGTCTTGAGTCTGGTAATTTACTGAGATTTTACCTTTCCTTGGAGACAGGACACACTTACTCTGTTTTGTCTTTTTTTTTTCTTTCTTCCATTGAATGAAGCATCATTACATATCGATCATTACAGAACATGTGTTCTATATAGTAAGCTGTCTAATTATCACGTTGGTTTCTCGATCATTTGCAGGTGATGTTAAAGGCCGACAATATTATTCCAGATCAGGTAAACAGTTAAAAAAAACTACTCAACAAATTCAAGTGTGTGTTATAACACTAATTAAGTGTGGTGGGTTACACATTGATAAGGCGCCTAATATTTGTTATAATGTTGTTAATGTTGGATAAGGTGTGTATTCGAGGGTGGTAAGGACGGGAGTCCCACGGACATATGCATATGCCAAAAGAGGTAACGCTTGGTTGATCGGTGCTCCTTTTCTTTTGATCGTCCTTGGTACCATCGGTCTTGGTGGAATCAAAGCTAACAGGTACTCTCTGTGGACTTTATTCTGTAAAATTGTATTAAGATATTAGTGAGATTTTCTTAATAGATGATTATAATCATTGGTGTGTGTGGCATTTTGCAGGGCATATAATATGCAAAAACAGACGTTCCCTTCTCATAATCCGTTCCTTCCTTGATTTATTCAGAGTCTCTCTTTCAACAAAGCATTTTGAATCAGATATGAGCCTACAGTGAGATCTGTTTTCTTGTTAAATTCAAAAGGGATGTCAGGTTAGAGTTAATTCTTTTAAGATTTTGAAGTCGTAGGAACGTGGGTCTATCTGTTTGGTGTTTCCTATACTTGTTGTAATTTGAACAATAAACACAAGTACACAGGTTCTGTATTTTGTATTGTATTATAATACTTGATTCACTAAAAGATAATGGTGTGACCGTAGATTAATATAATGCATAAACACACTAGTAATCATCTCTCTGCTTCAAAATTTCAAACTTGCAATAATGTCATCATTACCAGTCCTTGTATGAATTAGGATATAGAAAAGGTTCTATAGCTATTTATAAATTAGAGCCTGACATAAAACATAATATTCATATAAAGAAAATGAAGCTTCGTGGTTCAGAGTATTCAGACTACAAAATAAGACGTAGGTAAATAAAAAAAAAACTAGCGAAGCTACAGATATCATCCATCCATATCACAGTAGATGTATCTTAGTCCCATAAGACCAAGAGAAACAGACTGCCACAACGCTGGTGATGCAGAGATTCCCAAATCAACGTTCCTTCTGCCACTAACTTGTTTATCCTTGAGATGATGAAATTGAGCAAATCTTCCTTCTTATTGAGAGCAACACTAAGGTTCTTATAGAACCCAACCAATAGGTCCAAACCTTAACAATCCTCCTTATTTTTAGCCTTGACTCATTTGTAATGAACCGACGATAGTAAAATGGAAAAAAGAAAGAAAAGAAAACCGTGCCTACTACTACTAAAATAACTAGTACCACTTCAGAATCATCATAGTTCTGAAGTTTTTTTGATATGGAAAACACTAATTTCCATGTCTTAGTGCTCTAAATTTGGTATTCAAAGTAGTGTACCCATATAGGCTACTACTACATCTTCATGGAACATAGATTGGATTTCAGGCAACAGGTTGGATACCTGTCACGGTTTCAGTAGCTTTCTTGTTTGTAGTCTCTGAAGCAACAGCAAGGTTAACAGTAATTGGTTTCCATCCTGTTTGATTATAAGTAATCCATTTCTTCGAGGTTGCTGTTATATTCAAGATCTGAACTATGTCACCTATAGCATACTCTTTTAGGCATTCCCTTTTCAGAATCTGTGCAGCTTCATACCTATATATCATAAAAAGAATGTTAAAATGATTCATTAATAGTGAGTACTATAAAGTAAACTATTTTTACTGACCTGCACTGCGTTGCCATAAACGCCACACGTCCAGAGGAAGAGGTTAGAAACTGTTTAAGTCTATCCCACGCTGCATTTGGATATTGCTTAGGGTTTCCCCCTAAAGGGTTTACACAGTTCCATAGAGGTTCACCTTTGCCAAGGTAAAGCTTTAGTTTACCCATATTTACAACCATGATCATTTGATGCTCCGCTGCACTCTCTAAAGCTTTCTTTACATCAGTACCGTGATGCTTAGGATCTCCATACTGAATGCAATCCGAGATATTAGGCTCGGTGGGACTAACTTTTTCGGTTTTCAAGATGTTTAGAGCATGTAAGATAACGCCTATAAGGCCTTGAACATACTCAGACGGTTGTGTTGGTGGTGGTGGGCCCTCTTGTGTCCCCCACGTACCATTGCTGGAACCAGATTTAGAAGTAACCACTGGAGGCTGAGGAGTGGAATTGGTGTTCACTGTGGTTGTAGTAGTACTGGTTACTGGGGCGCTACTACTCCGTGGAAGATAAACTTTATTTGCGCCGTTTAAGTTAAGAGAAGAAGATGATGATTCCATCTTTGGTCTGAACTCCTGTCTAACTTGAGGATAAAAATTAGGACGATTTTGAGTTTGAGTTTGGCTTGGATACTGAGACACACTTAGGTTGCTGAGATCATGTGGAGACATAAACCTAGGACCGTCATTTCTCGGTCGGAAACCATTATTCATAGGAGGATGCAGATTCTCTGGCCGATAAGGACGGAAAACATTACCATAAGGTGGTCGCATATTAGGACCACTTGGCCTGGAAGCATTGGGATAATAGTTCTGCGCATGGTTTTGGATGCTGTTTCCGTTATTCCAAGAAGGATCAGGGTTAGGGTAAGGCTGCCTAGGAGGATAAGGACCAGGTCTATGAGCATAACTGTACTGATTCTGAGGATTAGGGAAAGGGTTAACATTGGTAGGGGGTAAAATGGGAGGAGCAGGTATGGTGGTGGAAGAAGAAGGCTCACTACTTCTAAAAAGCTCATGAGGTTTCTTAATCAACTTCCCTTGACTATTATTCTGTTGCTGACGTTGGTAATTATTCGGCGCCTGCTGTTGATTCAACGGCTTTGGAATGTACTTAACCTTGAATTTATTCGAATCCTGAGGTTGGCTTGACGGAACACATGGCTCCTGTGTCGTCTCCGCCGCGTTGGCAATAAGCTGCAAGCTTTCGCTTTTCGAGAGAGGCATACCACCAGCTGATAAGCTAGTCCAAAGCCACACCGTCCTCGCGGCGTGAACAAGCGGCACAGACGCTTTACGAGGCTGTGCCAAGAGAACATTGTAACGTCTCAACCTCAACTGGTGAAGAGCATCGGAGAAATCTCTATCCCCAGAAATCAGCATAAAATTCGCAGGCGCAGGGTTATCAAGCGCCCAGCAAAACATGTTTACTAAAATCTTCTTATCACTCGCATCTTTCGCTCCTATAAAGAGTAAAAAACTTAACCATTAAACTCATTGATACGGTTATTGGTAAAAAATAAACCGTATTGAAACGGTTATTAGGGTTTTGAGAAAATTCACCTGCAGGGACGTGATTGAGTGCGATTCCAGTGGAGTTGAGAGCTTGCTGGATCGCCATAGGGATGCGATTCGTATCACCGAAGGCGGAGATCGAGACGGTGCCGAGATAGTTCATCTTCTCCAGCGCCGAACTAATGTTCTGAGCGATTCCATGAGCGTCTACGCCTTTAGGGACTTGACAGTTCTCTATATCCCACCAAACCGCCGTCTTCGCTCTCACGTACTGAGCTTCGGCCATCTCCGCCGGCGCAACCACCATCGGTGGCTTCGATTCAACATCTCCTTCGCCCGCCGGGTTCATCGCCGCCACTTCAGTGCTTTCAATTATTATTATTATAAGTATCTATATAACCTTTTTTTCCTCTCGCCTTTATATTATTAAAAGTTGTTGTGATTTTACGGTTTTATCCTTGAAGTGGGGACGAATCGTGGAGGGGTAATTTTGTAACGGAGGGTAATGATTGGTGGAGAGACGTGGTAATTGCCTTGTTGGCACTTGTTAAGTAGTGGTGGTGATACTGTGGTTAGTGGAAAACACTCCTTCATCGTCTCCTTTACGTCCGTTTTCTTATTTTTTTTGGACGTTGACTAAAGTCTTGACGTTTTCGTTTTACACGCTGAAACTTACTTCTGTTTTTTCCTGGTTTTTTTCCACCAATTATCACTAAGTTAGTTATACGTCCAAATTTTGTCGCTGTCCCACCTAATTTTCCAAAAGACTATACTTTTTGGTCAACCTTTTACTATATATTATACGTGTCACTGTTACTATATATCATTATCTTGTGTAGTGGTGTATTGTTTATACGTGTGTTCTGTTTTTCTTTTTTTTTGATCAAATACGTGTGTTCTGTTTAGATGTCTTTTTCAATCGTGCTTTTTTTAATACCTTTCAATCGTCCTAATAGAATATAGTAGCCATTACTTAATGAGCCTCCAGATATGGGCAACTGAAATTAAAGCCCATTAAGAGTAATTTACCAGTGCTAAGTGCTAACAACGAATAGAAAATACGAGGGAACTTAACTTGCTGTAACAGAGAGGTTTCAAGAGTTCATATAAGCCAAAATATTGAATGTAAGGATTTCTCTCTGACTCACCAAGTTTATCTCTGAATCCTCATCTTTCGCCAATATCACTACTCACTAGTTCATTCAAGAAGTGACCGAGAGACTATCGAGTTTACGTGAATCTCTTTTGGTATAGAACACATGAGTTATCATTATCACAAAATCGGGGATGTAGCTCATATGGTAGAGCGCTCGTTGCATGCGAGAGGCACAGGGTTCGATTCCCTGCATCTCCAAATTTTTTTCTTAAAAATTACAATAACTTGGGCCTAAGGAGATTCAGTAAAAAGCCCAAATTCCAACTAGGGATGGCAATTAAAGACCTGGACCGCGGGCCTGGCCCGTAAAGGCTTGCTGCGGGGCGGGATTGGGCCTTCATTTGATAAGTCCACAAAATTGCGGGCCTCGCGGGACAGGCTCAAAATGGGACGGGCCGAATGCGGGACGGGCTCAAAACGGGACGGGCCGAATGCGGGACAGGTTAACCCGCGGGATTTTGAAGACCCGCAACCATAAGTCCCCATTTCTGTTTGGTTTTGTTTTCAGTACTATAAATTGCCTTATTATTATGTGAAATTTTCTTGTTTAAGTTGATGAGCTTTGTATTCAGTATTGCTAAGTGGTATTTAAAAAAAAAAAAAATTTGTTACAATGATGTTGTTAAAGAGTTACTGCTTGTTGAAGAGCTACTGTTTGTTCTTTAAACGGCTCGAAATGAGAGTTTGGGTTACTGCAGAATCTTATTTTTACACTCTAATTTCAACAGCTTGGTTGAAAGAGAAGAAGAAACCATTAGTATTAAGTTATTGTTGCTATGAAGAGACGTTACTTTACAAAGAATCAAACAAGGAATATTCTTGAAAGAGTTAAATATTACTGTCCAAATGGCTCTCACTTACTTCAAGACCATTAAACCAGCGAGTGACCACATTGGATGTTGTTACGATCGATGTTGTTCTGTTCTCTTCAACGTCTTTACATAACTCTTCTACTTTAACATTCATGAAGAAAGTTGAAGGAGACGTCCCTCGGGACGGCCCGCGAAGGCTTATAAATAATGCGGTATGGGATTGGGTAGCCATTTGGAAGACCGCAGCCCGCGCGGGACAGGCCCGCCGTGACCCGCTCGACGATGAGCCCGCTGCGGTACGGGACGGAACGGGACTGGAAAGCCCAATTGCCGTCTCTAATTCCAACCCAGTTAGTTATTTTTGCAAGGGTAGTTACGTAATAGCAGTCCAGAACCCTAGCGTCTCCTTTTAAAACCAGCTTTCTCATCTCATTTTCTTTCTTCTCCAACTTTTTTTTGATAGCACCGCCGCAAAGATGCAGATCTTCGTGAAAACCCTAACGGGGAAGACGATAACCCTCGAGGTCGAGTCCTCCGACACCATCGACAACGTCAAGGCCAAGATCCAAGACAAGGAAGGAATCCCACCGGACCAACAACGACTAATCTTCGCCGGGAAACAGCTCGAGGACGGCCGTACACTCGCCGACTACAACATCCAGAAGGAGTCGACGCTTCATCTCGTCCTCCGTCTCCGTGGTGGCGCGAAGAAGAGGAAGAAGAAGACGTACACCAAGCCCAAGAAGATCAAGCACAAGCACAAGAAGGTGAAGCTCGCTGTTCTTCAGTTCTACAAGGTGGACGGATCTGGTAAGGTGCAGAGGCTGAGGAAAGAGTGTCCTAACGCGACTTGTGGTGCTGGAACTTTCATGGCGAGTCATTTCGATCGTCATTACTGTGGTAAGTGTGGACTTACTTACGTTTACCAGAAGGAAGGAGCTGAGGCTTGATTTTATTAAACCGGTAGATTGATATCACTCGAGAGTTCGGTTTAGTGATTTTTAAGCTTTTTTTTTTGTCTTATTATGTAATGGATTCAGTGGTAAACTTGTTTTGTTTTGGATTTCGTTTTTTTTTTTTAATTATGTTGGTACTTTTATTAGTTTGAAATACATTGCTTGCAATATCTTCAGTTATATCTTATAGTTGGACTTGGACCTTGATTATTTGCAATTTAGATTTGATGGAACAGTTTTTGAACGGAATTATATTAGCTTTTTTGTCTTATTTTGTAATGGATTCGCTGTTTAACTTGTTTTGTTATTGGATTTTGGTTTTTATTTATGTTGCTTGGTATGTTGATTAGTATGAATAACATTTCTTGTATCATCTTCGATCGTCCCTTATATTCGAATCTATATTAGATTTGGAAATTAGATTGAAGGGCATTGCTTTTTGGTTGATTGTCTTGTTTGAACCATGTGGTTACTTTTTAGGCTGACATTTACTCCTAATCTTCATAGTTAAGAGTTAGTCTCTTAATCTTCATAGTTAAGAGTTAAGTCTCTTAATCTTCATAGCTAAGAGTTAGTCTCTTAATCCTCATAGTTAAAAGTTAGTAGTTCAAAATCTTGATATTATTTTGTTCTCAAGTTCTCTGTATTCGCTAGAAGAGACTATCTATTGTTCATGGACCTTAGCAAATTCTCAATGATCATCAACAAAGGAGCAAGGTTATGTTAAATTTTTTGAATCTAAATTATAGATGTTATGTTAACCATTGTCCTATCTTCGTGAAAGTGAACAATGAGAGTGAAATTTTATGATCTTTGTGAAAATGCAGTGAGTGAAGCGAGATATTTGAGTGCATAATGTAAATCTTTGTTACTGAAAATTTAACTACACACTAGCGCACATCAAAATCTTTGTTACTGAAAATTGAACTACACACAAGCGTACACAACAATCAACAGTTCTCGCTACACACACATCAATCAAACAGTTCGTACACAAAATTGAAATCACATTACACACTAGCACAATTGTTTCTTTAGGAACACAACTTTTACCCAAGCACACCGCACAATCTAACTCAATGAAGTTTAGCATATATTAGTATAAATTTTTAATGTTGTTAGATATTTTTAAAATACATAAAGAAGTCTAAACTTAAGTACAAATATTATTTATCGGAAAAAATCGTCCTTTTCGTAGAGATTGTTAATCTACAAATTTTAAGATAAATGAGAAAAATATAAATTTTTTTGTATTTATGCACAGTTACACAACACTGATATATGATAGAATATCAAAGAGTTTTGATATCTTAGTCGTCTAAATTTTTTCTAGAAAATAGAGATTTTATAGAGTTTTAGTTCATTGCTTTTGGTGGTATATGAAGTTTTAGTAAATTCATCTGTTGAAAATTAGAATTAATGCCCATGTAATATGAACATAAATTTAGTATATTAATATAATTTTTAATGTGGTTAGGTATTTTTTAAACAAAACTAAAGATACTAAAATTTAGGTTTTAACTGATGACCAAAAGAATGCGTAGAAATAGTTAATTTCTTTTCATTCCTTAAATTTGACACCATTTATAAAGAATATTTTTTTTTTTACAATATACCTTAAAAGGAATCAAAGAACAAAACTATTCCTTATTAAATCTAGGGAGGAACAACAAGGAACAAGTATTCCTATTATTCTGTTCCTCTTCTTTCCTCGTTTTCCTATTATTCCTTTGGTGGTAATGAGTTAGAGCCTTAGTATATATAATATTTATCGGAAAATTTAATTTTTTATAAAGGTTAATCCACATATTTCAAGGTAAATTAGGAAATATTTTTTTTTTGTTTTAATGCATAGCTGAATCATGCACAGACATAATATGAAGATTAACGAGGTTTGAAACCTTAATTATTTATGATTCTCTAGAAAATAGAGTTTTTTTATAGGGTCTAGTCCACTTATTTTGGTGGTATATGATTCTCTAGAAAATAGGGGTTAGTCCACTTAATTATTTATGATTCTCTAGAAAATAGAGTTTTTTTATAGGGGTTAGTCCACTTATTTTGGTGGTATATGAAATTTTATTAAATTCCACTGTTGAAAATTAGAATTGATGCATATGTACCATGAACATAAGTTTAGTTCATTAATATAAATTTTGAATGTGGTTAAGTATTTTTTTAAAAAAACTAAATAAACTAAACTCTAGTATATATAACATTTATCGGAAAGCTTAATATTTTTGTAGATAATAACCCACATAATTCAAGATAAATTAAATTATAGTATTTTTGCTATAGTTCATAGCTGCATCATGCAATGACATAGTGATTAGGAATTTTTAGTCAACCAGAAAGAGCCTAACCTTTTGTATATAACATTTAACAGACAATGACATGTAGGATGAAGATCAAATATGTCAAACACCTTTTTTGTCCCAATTTTTTCTAGAATATATAGATTTCATAGAGTTTAGTTCTTTGATTTATGTGGTATATGAGTTCTATTAAATAGAATTTTTTATAGGGGGTTTGCCCACTAATTAAGTGGTATATAAAATTTAAATAAATTTAATTTAGGAAAATTTGAAATGATGTTCATGTACCATGAAAATAATTTTAACATACACTAATAAAAATTTAGAATTTGATTAGGTAATTTTCATCGAAAATAAAGAGCATAAACTTCATAATATAGCATTTATCAAAAAACTCGATTTTCTGTAAGGGTTAACTCACATATTTCAAGAAAAATTAGAAAATATGAAAATTTTGTTTTAATGCATATTTGTATCATTCACTAACATAGTATGAAGGTTAAAGAGGTTTGACACCTTAGGTGTTAATGTTTCTCCAGAAAATATAATTTTCTTTATAGGGGGTTTGTCCACAAATTAAGTGGTATATGAAATTTAAATAAATTACATGTTGGAAAATTTGAAATAATGTCCATGTACCATGAAAAGAATTTTAACATACATTAATATAAATTTATAATGTGATTGGGTAATTTACATCAACAATAAAGAGCCTAAACTTCTTAATATAGAATTTATCAAACAATAGAGTTAACCCACATATTTTGAGAAGAATTCAAAAATATGAAAATTTTGTTTTAATGCATATTTTCATCATTCACTGACATAGTATGAAGGTTAAAGAGGTTTGACACCTTATGTGTTCATGTTTCTCCAGAAAATAGAATTTTCTTTATAGGGGGTTTGTCCACAGATTAAGTGGTATATGAAATTTAAATAAATTACATGTTGGAAAATTTGAAATAATGTCCATGTAACATGAAAATAATTTTAACATACATGAATATAAATTTAGAATATTAGGTAAAATTTTTATCAATAAAAAAAGTCAAAACTTCTTAATATAGCATTTATCAAAAAACATGATTTTTCGTAGGGGTTAACCCACATATTTCAAGAAAAAATTTAAAAATATGAAAGTTTTGTTTTAATGCATATTTTCATCTTTCACTGACATTGTATGAAGGTTAAAGATGTTTGAGACCTTAGGTGTTCACATTTCTCCAGAAAATAGATTTTTTTTATAGGGGGTTTGTCCACTAATTAAGTGGTATATAAAATTTAAATAAATTACATGTTAGAAAATTTGAAATGATGTCCATGTACCATGAAAATAATTTTAACATACATTAATACAAATTTATAATGTGATTGGGTAATTTTCATCGAAAATAAAGAGCCTAAACGTTTTAATAAAGAAATTATGAAAAAACTAGATTTTTTATAGGTGTTAACCCACATATTTTGAGAAAAATTAGAAAATATGAAAATTTTGTTTTAATGCATATTTTCATCCTTCATTGACATAGTATGAAGGTTAAAGAGGTTTGAGACCTTAGGTGCTCATGTTTCGCCAGAAAATATAATTTTTTTTATAGGGGGTTTATCCACTGATTAAGTGGTATATAAAATTTAAATAAATTACATGTTGGAAAATTTGAAATGATGTCCATGTACCAAGAAAATAATTTTACAATACATTAATACAAATTTAGAATGTGATTCGGTAATTTACAGCGAAAATAAAGAGCCTAAACTTCTTAATATAGCATTTATAAAAAAAGAACTCAATTTTCTATAGGGGTTAACTCACATATTTCAAGAAAATTAGAAANGATGTCCATGTACCAAGAAAATAATTTTACAATACATTAATACAAATTTAGAATGTGATTCGGTAATTTACAGCGAAAATAAAGAGCCTAAACTTCTTAATATAGCATTTATAAAAAAAGAACTCAATTTTCTATAGGGGTTAACTCACATATTTCAAGAAAATTAGAAAATATGAAAATTTTGTTTTAATGCATATTTCCATCATTCGCTGACATAATATGAATGTTAAAGAGGTTTGAGACCTTAGGTGTTCACGTTTCTCCAGAAAATAGATATTTTATAGGGGGTTTGCCCACTATTTAAGTGGTATATGAAACTTAAATAAATTACATGTTGGAAAATTTGAAATGATGTCCATGTACCATGAAAATAAATTTAACATACACTAATATAAATTTAGAATTTGATTAGGTATTTTTTTACGAACAATAAATAGTCAAAACTTCTTAATATAGAATTTAATGCATATTTTCATCCTTTACTGACATAGTATGAAGGTTAAAGAGGTTTAAGACTTTAGGTGTTCATGTTTCTCCAGAAAATAGATTTTTTATAGAGGGTTTTTCCACTAATTAAGTGGTATATAAAATTTAAATAAATTACATGTTGGAAATTTGAAATGATGTCCATGTACCATGAAAATAATTTTAACATACATTAATACAAATTTAGAATGTGATGGGATAATTTTCATCAACAATAAAGAGCCTAAACTTTAATATAGATTTTATCAAAAAACTAGATTTTCTGTAGGTTAACCCACATATTTTGAGAAAAATTAGAAAATATGAAAATTTTATTTTAATGCATATTTTCATCCTTCACTGACATAGTATGAAGGTTAAAGAGGTTTGAGACCTTAGGTGTTCACGTTTCTCTAGAAAATAATTTTTTATAGGAGTTTGTCCACTAATTAAGTGGTATATAAAATTTAAATAAATTACATATTCGAAAATTTTAAATGATGTCCTTGTACCATGAAAATAATTTTAAAATACACTACTATAATTTTAGAATTTGTTTAGGTTAATTTTTATCAACGATAAATAGTCTAAACTTCTTAATATAGCATTTATCAAAAAACTTGATTTTTCGTATGGGTTAACCCACATATTCCAAGAAAAAATTAGAAAATACTAATTTTTTTTTAATGCATATTTTCATACTTCACTGACATATTATAAAGGTTAAAGAAGTTTGAGACCTTAGGTGTTCACGTTTCTACAGAAA